TGGATTAAATGGATTAAATGGCCTAACTCGTACAGGCCCAAAGATTGCTGAAGAAGAAATAGACCCAGGCCCAAACACTTGACAATTGTACAAAGTTCTGTAATGTTATTTGTATACTTAGCCACATATGTAATAGATAGCCATTCTTTTATTTGCCTAGTATAAATACTTCATTAGGCTATATTTTGTACAGACAGATTATTCTTTCAATACAGAGAGATCAATTTCTGTATCTTCTTCTCTCTAAAATATTCGAACTAGGGTTTTCTTCTGAAGAATCCATGGATTCTCACTCAATTGCTTCAATCTAACAAACATAGATAATACAAAAATCATACCCTAAAATCTAGGCTGCGTGCTTGCTCAACTATTGTCAAAACTTGAACAAGTAACTGAATTAAGGCACAGGAATTTAAAACTTTATTTTAGTAATGAAACTGCGCTGGTATTCTTGGATCACTATAAATTATGAAAGGGTCAACTTTTCTAGGAAATCTAGGCAAGTAATGAGTTAAGAACAATAGTACTTAATAAATAAATGTTATATACTTATATATAATGCGTGTGTATGCCAATTGATTATCCAGGTAGAGAACTGCAAGATACAATGCATGGAGTTGAACCAATACAAAAAACAAACAGCTTTTGTCCTTTAATGAAACACTATTATTATTAAAATATATAAGCAACTTTGTCCACTTCTCACCCAATAGTGTAAACCATAAAAGAAAAAGAAACAACATCACATAAAAATTCTAAGTAGGCGTTTGGACATAAATTTTTGAAAAAAAAAGTAATATTTGAAGTTAAGTTGAAAAATAGTATTTGAAATTTATAATTTGAAATTATGTTTGAACATGTATTTCAGTTGAAAAAATATTGCAGTTTTTGTGAGTGGAGAAAATATTAATTTTGAAAATTTTAAAAAAAGTGGTCAAAACTATTTTTTGGTTTTTGAAAACCTTATTTTCGATTTTTTTTTTCAAAAAACATGCCAAATTTCATGGACAAATATATTTTTGAAAAAAAATATTATGGACAAATCGGTTGGTATTGGAGCTCCAACGGCTGGTCAGAATGACACGTTTCGTTCACAATGTGCAAGTACAGTGCTTAAGGTTGGATTAGGAAAATAAGACAAACCTTAGGACGTAACACGACGCAATCATTAAGAAATCTAACGACGTAGAATTAAAATTGTATGGGTTTGCTAATAATGCTGGTATTAGATTAGTGATTATTTCCAATATGAAATATTAATTAAGTACCAGTTTAACGTGATGATATAGAAAATCTGAGTGTACAAACAGCTTGTCGGGGATAAAGTAAGAAATATTCCAGCTTTTCGTTTGATGAATACCTCATCCACGTTCTTTGTCTTTGTCAGAACCTGGATTTATCATTATTCTTGTTTGTTTTAATAAGAAGTCATTATAATGTTTCCTTAGTTCATCAAATTTTATTTGAGATTAATACAGAAATCCTGGATTATATGTTTCTTTTTTGTTCTCCTTTTGTTCGTCATATTAATGGCATTAACTATTCTCTCTCATTCCAATGTAGAATTTGCCTAAGGCAAATTTCACATGGAACCTCTTTCAAGTTCAACCGTCATTGGTATCGTCTATGATACCGCTTCTCACGATGTCCTAGATAGTTCCAACTTCCATGATATTGTTCGATCATCTCCAACCTTTAGGGCCTCATGGTTTTGTCCTCCTAAACTTAAACTGTAAAAAGGTCTTAATAGTTGAGTCCTGAAATTGCTTTTACTATGTCCGTCTCAGATTATCTGTCATGATTTTCTTGTATATGCTTCTTAAAAAAAATAATTAGGATGAGATTTTGACTACTTTACATTCATGTCTTAATATTTAATTTTTCTTTATTGATATTTGAAAAAAATTATCCATAATTGAGGTGTTTGTAGTCTTCAACGATAATTTGTCAAAAGTTGGCCATTAGAGAGAGCTTTTGCGTGAAGAAGAAGAAGAAGACTGTGTTTTGGGAATTTTCCAACTGCCTTATCTCTGTGGTAACTAACTAATATATACAATCATACAGAATAATCACTAAGACCTCTCTAAGTTCTAACATTTACACGTTGGTCCTAACATTAGATTAGCTAGCAAATTAGCCTCAGTCTAACTACCAGTAACTCCCAATACTCCCCCTCAAGCGGGTGGATGAAGAATGTTCAAGACACCCAGCTTGCCTAGTAAAAAATGATGTTGCCCTGAAGGTAATCCTTTGGTGAGAAGAAATGGCAATCGATATGTCCGTAATCCTTTGGTGCTTACTACTCAATATGTCCGTAAGCAGTCCTTTTTTGATGTGCTCTCGAATGAAATGGCAATCGATCTCAATATGTTTAGTGCGTTCGTGGAAGATAGGATTGACAGCTATTTGCATTGTTCCCTTGCTGTCACAAAACAATAAGATTGGTCGCACAATGGGAACTCCTAATTCTGAGAACAAGCCCAATAGCCATACAATTTCAGAAACTGCTGATGCCATGCTACGATACTCTGCCTCTGCACTACTCCTTGACACAGTGTGCTGCTTTTTTGACTTCCATGATATTAAGGAATCACCAAACTTGACTGCATAACCACTAACAGATCTTCTTGTCATTGGACATGCTGCCCAGTCTGAGTCGCAAAAAGCAGTCAAAGTATTTGCCTCTCCTCTCTTTAACAAAATACCCATGCCTGGTGCAGATTTGAGATACCTTACTACCCTAAGAGCAGCATCTATATGGGACTTCTTAGGTAGTTGCATAAACTGGCATAGACCCTGCACTGCATAGCTGATATCAGGCCTAGTAACAATAAGATAGAGAAGTTTCCCTATCAATCTTTGATAGCTAGTGACATCTGTCAAGGGGTCTGCTTCCTTAAGTCCAACAGCTTCATCATATTCAACTGTTGTGAGTTTCTGATTAATCTCAAGAGGTGTTACAACTGGTTTGGCACCACTCAATCCTAGCTCAGAGATAAGTTCCAAAGAGTATTTTCTTTGGTTAAGTAAGATCCCATGTTTAGACCTCATAACTTCAATGCCCAAAAAATACCTCAATTCTCCCAAGTCTTTAAGTTTGAACTGTTGGTGTAGAGCTGCCTTAGCTTCATCAATTAACTCTTTATTGCTCCCAGTCAATAATAGATCATCCACATAGATAAGAATGATCATAATATCTGTTCCTGTTTTCTTGGTGAACATAGAGTAATCAAAAACACTCTGCACAAAACCTGCACTCACTAAGGCTTCTGTGAGTTTAAGATTCCATTGTCTGGAGGCCTGCTTGAGGCCATATAGGGACTTTAGCAGTTTGCATACCTTCTGCTCCCTCTGCCTTTGAAATCCCTTTGGCAAATCCATATACACTTCTTCAAATAAATCACCTTGAAGAAAGGCATTAAACACATCCATCTGGTATAAAGTCCAATCTTTTGAGGCTGCCAAGGCTATCACAGACCTAACTGTCACCATTTTTGCTACTGGTAAAAAGGTCTCATGATAGTCTAATCCCTCCTGTTGATTGTACCCTTTAGCAACTAGTCGAGCTTTGAACCTCTCTATTTCCCCATCAGCTTTATACTTTATTTTGTAAACCCACTTAGAGCCAATAGAAGTTTTTCCAGGAGGTAAATCCACTACTTCCCATGTTTTGTTGTCCTCTAGAGCCTGCACCTCTTGTTGCATAGCAGTAATCCACCTCTCATCTTTGACAGCTTTCTTGAAGGTATAAGGTTCTCTTAGCACTGAGAAGACAGAAACATAACTCTTGTACTTAGGAGACATTTTTTCATATGACAAAAAGTTAGATATTGGATAACTGCATTGTGATGATTTCTGAAGTTGCACCACATAATCCTTTTGCCATATAGGAGGATGTTTCACTCTTTGAGATTGTCTTCCAAGCATAGACTGTCTATCAGATACATTGGAGCTTGATTCAGCATTTGGAACAACAACATTTGGAACAACAATGTTCTCTAACTGAACATGATCATTGTGTGCTTCTGCATCATGAATATTCACCACTGGCTCATCTGCATCATGTTCATCTGCAGCAGGTTCATTTATCTCCTCCATGTTTAAGGCATGTCCAATATCTGCATCATGATGATCTATGACCGGTTCAGCAGGAATAGAACCTCCTGGTCCTTCATATGAGACTTGACTTTCCTCTAAATCCATGACTGTTGGTCCAGTTGCTTCAGAAGTTGGTAAATCAAGCTGCAAAAAACTGGCCTCTAGATTGTCCCGTGGGTTAGAATGTAAATGCATTTCCCTGAATGGAAATTCAGACTCCCTGAAGGATACATCCCTGCTAACAAAGAAGGATTTAGTGGTTAAATCATATAACCTATATCCTTTTTGGGTGGTGGAATATCCCATGTGTACAGCTTTTCTAGCTCTAGTAGCAAATTTGTCCTCTATCACCAAGTTAGTTGCATAACACAAACACTCAAAGACTCTTAGATGAACTATAGAGGGTTCTCTACCATGCAGCATAGCAAAAGGGCTCTTTCCATCTAAGATCTTAGAAGGTAGTCTGTTTATGATGTATACTGCTGTTTGTGCACATTCCCCCCCCCCAAAAGAGGCTTGGGACATTACTCTAAAATCTTAAAGCTCTAGCAGTGTTAAGTATGTGTCTATGTTTTCTCTCAACTACTCCATTCTGTTGAGGGGTATAGACGTAGCTACTTTGATGAATAACACCTTGTGATCTCAACAGATCACTCCACTGTTTATTAAAGAACTCTGTCCCATTATCAGTTCTTAAAATCTTAACACAAGTATCAAACTGTGTCTCAACCATGCACAAAAATTGCTTCAAAAAAATGATAGTTTCATTCTTAAACTGCATCAAAAAAATCCAAGTAGCCTTTGAGAAGTCATCAACAACTGTAAGGAAGTAGTGTTTCTTGTCATGAGTTGCCTTCTTGTATGGTCCCCAAACATCCATGTGAACAAGTTCAAAAGGTCTATTACTCCTTTTCACTATCTGGAAAGCTTAGCCTACACTGGTTTGCCAAGGGGCAAACAGAGCATTTATTTTGTATCTCACTATCTACTTTATTCTGCAAGAAAGAAACATGTTGCATTACAGGAATAAAGGCATGACCAAGCCTCATATGCCATAGATCCCCTGTATCTCCAGCTGTGACCTTCATACCAACATGAGCTGCTAGCTGTCTGATTCCTCTTCCCTTCAGCACATACAATCCTTCATCTTCCTTACCAATCGCCTTCACCCTGCCATTCTAAAGATCCTGAAACACACACAGTTCAGGTAAAAATATGGTAGCACAACTCAGATCTCTGGTTAATTTGGACACTGACATTAGGTTGAACTTAAAATCAGGCACATGAAGCACATTTTTCAGCTTATCAAAAGCTGACAGAAAAGAGCTCCCAACATGTTCTATTTTTGCACAACCTCCAATTGGCAGTGTAACCTTTTCCTTTCCCTTATCAGTTATTTTACTCACATCACTCGTGAAGTCTAATGTAGAAGATATGTGGTGTGTGGCTCCTGAATCCACAATCCATATATCTTTCAGTTCATTCACAGCTTCAGCATTAGAGGATAGTGCAATCCATCTATCTCTCAGCTTGTTCAAAGTTTCTACATTAGAGGATAATGCAGTAACTTTACCTGCATTATTAGTTTGAGTTGTAGCTTCACTTGGTGAGTCTTTGTTGTTGAGCAATCCCAGAATTTGTTGATATTGAGCCTCTGTGAGAAGTAGTCTCCCTTAGACTGTGTTGTTGCTTGTGAAGATTGAGTTGTTGATCCCTCTACATGGTTAGCTGCAGTAAGTGTTCCTCTAAGTTGAAAAGGTTTTCTTCCCTTAAAGTCTTCAGGATACCCAATGATTGTAAAACAATTTTCTTTTGTGTGGCCTTTCATACGACAATGGTCACGTTGTAGAAATTGTTTCTTTCCTCTGTATCCCTGTCCTCTACCAGCTTGCATAGCCAATGGATCTCCTTTATCAGCCATAGAAACACTTCCCATCGATTGCTGACTTTCATCTTGAAAGATTAGTGCATATGCTTGATTAAGAGTTGGTTCAGTAGTTTTCAGTAAAATTTGTCGACGAGCTTGCTCATAGGTATCATTTAGTCCATCCAGAAATTGCATCACCCTTTGTTGATGCAGATGAATCATGTATTCCTTGGATCTAGGACAACCACAGTCTGGAAATCGCACTAGAACATCATATTCAACCCATAACTCCTTCAACTTAGTAAAATAGACAGATACAGAGTCCGATCCTTGTGATAATCTTGAGATCGATCTGTGCAATTGAAAAATACGTACTCGATTCACCTTATCAAAATGCTCCTTGAGGTCCTCCCAAACTGCATGTGCATTCAATGCGTAGATGATTCCACTGAGCAGGTCCTTCGAAACAGAGTTCATTATCCAAGAATGTACTATCGCATTACAAGTCTCCCACTCCTCCAGAAGAGCATCCTTGTACATCTCCTTAGCACATTTTCCTGTTACAAACCCTAGCGAGCAAGTCGCATCGATCTACTCCACAGTCCATAGTTCTGAACCTGTGAGCTGAATTGGAATTAGAATCAATCCAGGTGTATCAGAAGGTTGAAGGAAAAGAGGATACGTATGGTCGATTTTCTCAGTCGCCATTGACGCACAAGCTTCAGATTTCGATCTTCACGATTAAGCACAGAATTGTCGGAATTAACACAGCTCAATTGAATTGAGTAGGAAATTGGTGATAAAAGCTTCACGAATCAGTCTCCATGGCTCTGATACCATGTCAAAAGTTGGCCATTTGAGAGATCTTTTGCGTGAAGAAGAAGAAGAAGAAGACTGTGTTTTGGGAATTTTCCAACTGCCTTATCACTGTAGTAACTAACTGATATATACAATCATACAGAATAATCACTATGACCTCTCTAAGTTCTAACATTTACACTTTGGTCCTAACATTAGATTAGCTAACAATTTAGCTTAAGTCTAACTACCAGTAACTTCCAATAATTATTATGGAAAAAAAGAAAAAAAATAATTAAATTTTCTTGAACTTCTAAACTGACAAATAATTTTGAGACACCTTTTTTTTTTAGTAACAATGACGGATGATATGAGGTGGATGGAGTATGACCCATAACTTTCTTCTCTCAATCCGGTATGGTATTTACATTGCAAATTTAACGCGACTCCCATTTTGAGGTCGGTATTAATAATCAATGGAAAAGGACTGATTTACCAAATTAATACTCCTTCCGGTCCAAAATAAGTGATTTTTTGGCTTTTTTCTTGTGGTACAAAATAAGTGATTTTTTCAGATTTCAAGAATGAATTAATTATTTTTTTCCTACATTGTCCTTGAAGTAAATGGTGTTGGAATATGTGTTAGGAGTGTTTATGTGAGATAGTAAAGGTTAATATGGTCAATTTCATTGCTAAATAATGCTAAAAGATGGATTTCTTAATTTGTGTGAAAACATCCAAAAAATCACTTAATTTGGACCGGAGAGAGTATGCTATTAGTATTAATTTAACAGTAGTGCTCAAAGCTTAAAACCGTGTGCCAGTTGTATGGGGATATGGGAAAACTTCGTCAAAACGAAATATAATTAGAAAATACACTTACACTTATGTATATAAGTCAACACCAATTCTGTTTAATTCGGTTTTCTTGGGCAGTTCACAATTTAACACACTCGCTCCGAAAAATTTTATTTTGTGTCTTACACAATTGATAATAGTTGTATGAGACCTCTTTTTTGTCTCACAACTTTCTGGTCCCAGAATTATGTGGACCCAGATGTGTAAGATATGGGTCTACAAATATGTGAGATAAAAAGAGGCCTCACACAAGTAATATAAGTTGTGTGAGACACAAAATAAAACCACTCCACTGCTCCCTAGAAAGATTATCTCCCAAATGTAACAAATTAATTACTCCCTCCGGTCCACAATAAGTGACCAATTTGATTTGGGCACACCCATTAAAAAAATACTCCCTCCGGTCCAAAATAAGTGATTTTTTGATATTTTTTTGTGGTCCAAAATAAGTGATTTTTTCAGATTTCAAGAATGAATTAATTATTTTTTTCCTACATTGTCCTTGGAGTAAATAGTGTTGGAATATGTGTTAGGAGTGTTTATGTGAGATAGTAAAGGTTAACATGATCAATTTCATTGCTAATTAATGCTAAAAGTTGAGTTTCTTAATCTGTGTGAAAACATCCAAAAAATTACATATTTTGGACCGGAGTGAGTACTAAATTTTAGATAAAAATAGTTAGTTTGACTAAACTACCCTTAATTAAATGTTGCAGGCTTGCAGCATAGTTAGGAGTAAAAGACTTCTTAGGGATACGTACATAAGGGTAATTAAGGAAAAAAATTAAATTTTTTCTTGATTATATAAAGGGACACTTATTTTGGAACAAAATAAAAAGACAAATTAATCACTTATTATGAACTAGAGGGAGTAACAATTAAGTAATATGGTAAAGATTTTTACACTATAAAATTATATCCTAAATATAACAAAAGAAGCTATTATTAAGATTCTTTCTTTTTTCTTCATAATAACCTTTTGTCTTGTTTGGGTAGCAGCTTCCTTCTATAAAAGACAAACCACTTCTCTCAAATCTCCCACTCTCCCAAAAGAAACTATTTTTGTACATCACTTCTTGCTAATAACTGTGAGAGTGTAACTGAGAGAGAAAAAATGGAAGAAATGGCTTCTTTATTGTATTACCAAGAGGTTGGTCATTAATTCCTTCATTTTCTTGCCTTAGGGCTAAGCCCCTAAAGGTTCTGTTTTTGTAAAAATATTAAATATTTTGAAGGCTTTTGTCTAACTTGGGCTTTTGATCAAATGTTGCAGACCATTGATGAAATGAGGCAGAAGCTTATGTACACTAATCTTGAACTTGAAAATTTGAAGGTAGAGAAAATTGAAGAAATGAATCTATTTTGTTTATTTTATTATTAGTTAAATATATTTTTTTCTTGAACCAAGAATCTATCAGAAACAATTACTCTATCCCACACAATGTAAGGATAAGTTCTGCGTATATTCCACCCTCCCGAGACCCCATTTGTAAAATCAAGTATACTATATTGTTATTGTTATTGTTGTATTCTTTGGGTTTTCATGGTCCAAATAGTGACTATTTTCTGATGCGTGAAACCCGGTTGGCTTTTTATCCCTTAGTCTCTCCGGTGATTAAGTGGACAGGTAAAATCGTTACTCGTTAGGATACTAAACGCAATTTGTGGACCATTGCTTCGATGGGCTCAAAAAAGCAACTTTCTTTTCTTCTTTTTTGTCCCCTTCTGATAAAAAAACACTAATATAAAAGTCATGCAGACAAAGACTAGGGATGTAGGGTTAGGTACTTAGCCATGTGTGAGCACTCCACTCATACTACTCTATCCTTAATGATCTCTTTTAGGTTATGGACTTATGGTATATTTGTACATGTTCATGCATGTGCCTAGACTATTCTAGTTAAATTACACTAGCGTGCGAATGGATAGGGTGGGCGAAATGCAAAGTTTATGAATGTTTGAGCGGTTGAAAGAGTTGGTCTCTTGAAACGTAAATGTTAAGTCAGTAATACTTTCAAATGTCACTTTTTTCGGTCGCATCAATCTTCAGGACGATATAGCCATAAAAATGCAAGTCGTAGTGGGAGAAGATTTTGCTTTTGGTGTATCCCGAGATGCAAATACATTCTATAATATACATACATACATATATATATATATATATATATATATATATATATATATATATAAAATTCAAGGCGATGATTGCTCTACCTGAATTTTTTAGAAGAATTAACCAAAATAGCTGCTCATCTAATATCTTAAACTAAAAATAGCCGGCAGGTGTATAATGTATGTATAATTATGGATAATCAATATACTCCCTCCGTTTCATATTAGATGAGGTAGTTTGACTCGGCACGGAGTTTAAGAAAAAAGAAGAAGACTTTTGAAACTTGTGGTCTTAAAAGCTTAAGGGGTAAAAAGTTTGTGGGGCCATGACATTTGTGTGGCTATAAAAGCTTCTCATTAAGGGTAAATGGGTAAAATGAAAGAGTTTAAAGTTGAATTATTTCCAAATTTTGAAATGTGTCATTTGTTTTGGAATAGACTAAAAAGGAAAATACCTCATTTAACATGAAACGGAGGGAATATAATTTTATTGAATATAATGACAAGAAGGAAAAGGGAAACAGTTAGTTGAAGCTGCCCAACTCATAAGGTTCAAGAAGTTAGTTAAGTTAGTTACAAGTTAGTTAAGCTAGTTATTGGTTAGTTAAGTTAGTTATGGCTTGTGGGGAGCTTAATCTTAGAGAAGCAGGAGATAATCTGCTCCTATATATACATGTATAGATGTATACTGGACATATAATGAATGAAAAATTACTGCTCTTAGTTCAACTACATCTGCTCTTCATATTCTCTCTCTCTTCTTCTTCTTCTTTTTCTTTTTCTTCTTCTTCTTCTTCTTTTCTTCTTCTCTTCATCTAATGAATTCTTCCATCTTTGATCTTCATTTCTACTTGTTAACTCCTTCCAATCATAGTTTCTTCATGGTATCAGAGCAATAGAACTTAATCACTTCCGCGAATCAAAGTTCTTGTTCTCTCTGTAAAAAATCTCTCTTGTTCTTTCCGTCAAGAATTTCTTTTCTCTTCGAATCTGGAAGAAGTCTGATAATCTATATTGTTCATAATCTGTATTGAAAGAAGTTTGTTGTTAGTTAATTGCGATCATCTGAAGATATGACAATCAACAACTCAGAGAATGTGGGAACAACAGATGCTGCAGTACCACCTGGTGTTCAAGTTGATGCAAGTGGAACTCCATCTGCACCTGGGATAATACCAGTCATGGATCATAACCATCCTCTATATCTACACTTGACTGATGTAAGTGACATTCCTCTCATCTCCCTTCAATTGACTGGTTCTAAGGATTACTCTTTATGGAGCAAATATATGAGAATAGTCCTGCTAGGAAGAAACAAGTTGAGATTTGTTGATGGCTCTTGGAAGAAAGAAAATTTTAGAGAAGAATTCTGGTACCAGTGAGAGAGGTACAATGCCATAGTCCAATCTTGGATAATGTACACTGTGTCTAGTAATTTGTTAGGGGGAATGGTGTATGCAGATAGTGCTCAAGATGTTTGGGAAGATCTGAAAGAAAGATTCAATAAAGTGGATGGATCAAGATCATTTAGCCTACATCAAGAAATAGTAAGACTAACTCTAGGAACAACCTCTGTGGCTACTTACTTCACAAAACTAAAAGAACTTTGAGTCGAATTAGAGGCCCTTGTACCGCTACCAGGCTGCAAATGTGATAAATCAAGGGAGTTTGTAGCCTATCTTCAAAGACAGAAGTTATATCAGTTTCTAATGGGGCTGAATGATAACTATCTGCAAGTCAGGAGTCAAATACTCCTAATGACACGACTACCCTCGGTAAACCAAGCCTATGCTATGATAATCAGTGATGAGTCACAAAAGGCTATGGGAACAATCTCCAACTCTGTTGGTTTATTAGGTACCATGCCTACTCTTGATCCTACTGCTATGTACTCCAAGACAGGATATCAGGGTCAGAAGTTTAGGAAAATTAATAACTTG